GTCCACTGCAAGGAACCCCCCCAAAAAAATTAAAGCAAACAATTCTGTTGGGGCACTATATACACCTCACCCAGTGGAGCGCATCAAGACACCTGTTGATAATACAGGAGCGTCCAGAAATCACGGTCCCTGGGAAACAGACCCCAATGAAAATTTGCCCTTCTCATAGGGCACCCCATAAAACAGCCCTATAGTTATTGGAAAGGATTTAGGGTGCAGCCCCAAAACAGCTGCTAAACTAACTCTGCTACGACCCCATATAACTTACCAATGCTTAGGTAGCAATGGGAGAAATCATATCCTTAAACCATAAACCATGAACCCTAAAGTGACTTCTTCGAGGACCCATTGCCCCGATCCCAGCTAAGCACGATCAGGGCAAAACCCATCGCAGCTCAGAGACAAACCTTAAGGTTCCAAGTCCCCAGGCGTGCAGTGCTTAAAGTTTAGGGGTTTTGGGATAAGGTTCAAATTTTAAGTTTAGGGTTCAAGGTTGTTTAGGGTTTTGGGAAACCGCAAACCCATGGGTACTTGGAACCTTAAGGAAAGAGGCAGGTTGGACCCTCCGATATATGGGCAAAAGCCATTGCTGCGCCATGGTCTGCCCTTTCCTCCGGCCTAGGAGGCTTATCTAGAATGAGCTTTGGGGTTTAATAACTATAGTCAGATTGAGGGTGCTGAATCTGTGGCTTAGGTTTCGGATTCAGGTCCATGGCTTACCCAGAGGAATCCGTATACCGACAAAAAGGCTCTGTACCTGACATCCTGGCATGTTTACTTCTTTCTAACAACATCAATGTACGGCCTACTCGTTTTTCAAGCTGTCTTTGAATCTAGGTTCCAGAGTACAGGCCCGGTGGACCGACGGGTGGAGTTTTGCTTGCCGCGCCTTGGCCAGTAAGACTACAATTCCAGGCGCAGGCTTGGTTAATCGCCACGGGCATAGGATTTGAACCTCGGCGATAATACGCACGCTTTCAAGATATGATGCTGTAGTCTAAACTCTTGATATCCCCCTTGATAACAGTAAAGTTGCGGGCTTAAGGCTAAACTCCATGCAATCCCCTCTGTAACCGCCCTTTAAGGAGTTTAGATTATATGATGCCCGTGCATCCTGCCGAAGTACAGCAACCTCCTTCCCTGAAACCAACAGCTATCAAGCGACCGTAGAAAATGCATAAATGCAAATTGGAGACGCGACATTACTACAAGACCCGTAGGCTACACTGGGCGATATGCCCTACATTCCACAAATCCCTCGTCTTACATTCCGGGGTCATACGCTTGCGCCTCTAATTTGGGCCTCAGCAAGATCAGTCTACCTGGCCAAGTACGGAACAATGAGCACGACTGATTGCAGCACTCAACCCCTAAACCCTGATAGTAGACGGCCCTGGCGCCACAAATTTCGTACCTAAACGGCAAACTTGTAAATTCAAAACAGTAAACACTGCAAGCCCGGATTTCAAAACCCTTACCTGTCTCATGCGGCAAAGACGCTTCGAAGGCCCAGCGAAGCTACCAACACATCAAAGCCCTTTTCTATGGGTACATGGGGTCCTCCAAGTAGTGCGTGGGGTTTGGGGTTGGGTCTTTGGGCTCACATAGGTAATAGGTAAACCGGTACAATGGCTCAGTATTCCTCGTGCTCATGAGTACTTACCATTCATTTCCAAAACATCGATTGCGAAATTGCTGAGTCACCCGGTCATGTTTTTTGCGGTCTCACTAATTAACTAACTAGGTTTGTTCCGGAGCCAGCAACCCCCAAACGAACACGGCACCTTTTGGAGTCGCTGCACACAATATAAGGCACAACGCAGCCAGCGGAGGACGTGACCCTCACTGCAAGCGCGAGACATCACAATCAAGGCAACTAGACAAGCAAGCAAACAAGCTCACGAAGCACTTGGCAGAACCCAGCGTCCCGAGATAGCCACTTTCGGAATAACTGCGCGAGAGCTTGCCAGCCAAAACTTGGGGATCACTCCCCTTGCCGTACGAGACAACATCATCGATGACCGAAGTAGCTCAAGCTTATATACCAGGCAACTGCAACCAAGCAGACATCAGGCAACGCCACCAAGCACTCAAAGCAGTGATGGGCCGGGCATCGCCCTAATGCAAGCAATGGACAACGACTTTATGGTCCCTAGCCAACAAAGCAGTACGTGCATGAAGTAACGCCTGAGGCACAGCACTAACTTCCAACCACCTCTTAGCAATCTTCAGAAAAAACGCCCAAACACCAACCGGAAGGCAAATAGCCCCATCCCCAGACCAGCCGTCACCACCCGCGGCGCCATGCATGCAGGAGGCGACACTGGCAAGTTCTGCATCGGACGGCAAGGACCAACACACATCATCAAGCTGATCAACATTGTCCAACAAAGTATACGCAACGTCAACATCAGAGGGCCATTCTCCACAACAGCATCCTCGTCGCAACTCGCAGGATTACCATCAAGGCATAAAATGTCAACTCCAACGGCAGATGTGACTTGCGAGAACGCAGCCATTGACCAACGAACTTCAAATCACTAAACATCATATTTTTCCAAGCACTCAGATTCAGGCCACAAACTTCTTGAGTGACTTGGCTCAATTGCTGCTTGGCCTCTTTGCGCTCACGCAAGAAACCCAAGTGACCAACCGTCCACGCCCAAACGCATGGAAGATGCAGAACGCACAGTGGCACCTACAGGCGAGTCCTCAGAGACGTCGCTAGGCCATTCCCGACTCCACAATAATGATGCCTCAATCAAGTGGAGGATTTAATCTCCTGCCGGACGTCGACAGCTGTAGGACGCTGGCACGGGGGCCAAAGCTCATGTTGGAAGTTCTGGCCAGTGGAGCTCTTGTGCCGTGCATCCCAAAGAAAAAAGGGTCCATGCATGCTATGATGTTGGCATGCTGGCCCTGATGGATAGCGCTTAGCAACTCAGGCGCTGTGTAGCCCCGAGCACATCCGAAGAAGCCCTTACGGTCTCGCCTGCGGGATCTGCCTTTGAGGGTGATCGTCACCCTGAAGCCAAACAGAGAGTTGTCCTTCATGCTTTACAACCTCAAAAAAACCTAAACCCTGAAACCCTGTATAAACCTAAACCCCTAAACCTTAGCTCATAAACAGTATAGCTTCAAGGGCAATTGTCTGCATGGCGCAGCCGCAGCTTCGTGTCAGCAATGGACTTGGTTTTCCGGTATGCCAGGAAACCAGCGTCCCCTCACATGTTGAGGTGTTATGCGAACCCTTCTTTTTGGAATGGGTCGTCCTGACAGGGGAAATTCAGAGAGTGAATGTGGATACTCTATCAGGGCAGTTATGGGGCTGATATGAGGATAATTATTCGGATCCACTCCCGGATTTAACGGTTCAGTGAGGGTTTGCGGGTTTGGGTTGAGAGCTTAGCATTCGTACTTTTGGAGTTGAAACATCACGCAGTGATTGAAGGTAACGGCTTTAGCGTTCAGGGTTGGGCCAAGATAACGAGGGATCAACAGCGCCAAGTACGCAACTGAGTAGTACAGAGTTTGTACCATATAGCAACAACAGAGAGACGTTCCCCATGTTACGCGCCTACATGTTACCCATTGTTGCATGTGGAGTACAGAGGACTGAACTTACAAAAACAAACCGTTGGATGGACACTAAATACGATGACGCTTCAAACTTGAATGACCTCTTTGATGTGTAGTAGGATTGTCACTCAAATTCCCTCGAATTGGACACCGAATATATACACTCGCCAATATTCAAAAGGAACCGTATATACACCCACCAAAATCACAATAAAACAATACTACATACAACCTCTACATAATCCTAGCTTTCATGTTATTCTTGACGTGATTCTCCATTATTTAGGAAGCCCAGAAAATCCCCATGTGTCGTGGTATAACCATAGTAAGAACACTACTTCATATCCTCACAAGCTCAACTTTTTGCCGCTGCTGTCCTTCCAAAGCCTAGACTCTTCTGGGCTTAGAGCTTTCGGGACTTAAGTCACCCTAAACCTTTAACTCAGGTGTCTCTTAGGAGCTCTGTGTTCATAGGAGATTGCAGGAGCCTCTTGATTGTAAACCCTTTTAATCTCTTCGGTCCTGACTCCAAGGATCTCAAAAATTCAGCAGAAACAAGTCACCTGAGAGATAGTCTAAACTCTTAGCATCCCGCTTACTAATACCTATAACCTTCAAGGCTATAGCTCACCTGGCAGCCTCAATCAGAGCCCTAAGCTCCAAACCTGGCATTTCCGAGAGGCTAGGGCACAGCCCCACAAAGCGTAACTGTTGGGGGTCAGGCTTCGGGTTTAAGGGTGAACGGTTTAGGGTTTTAGGATTTGAGGGTGTGACCCAAAACACTAAATCCGGGAAGCCGCAACCCGAGCACTCCACAGACAATGCGAACATGGATGTGGTAGTTTCCCAAAATGGGGTACCCCAATATAGACCCTAATATACTATAGTCCTTATTACAGGGAACCCCCAAAAGGTATCCCTAATTTTGGGAAATCCCCATGTAAACATGAACAGGCTGAGCACAGTTTTCACTTCCTTGACCCAGGGTAGGTGTGGGGCCCTAAAAACATAAGTTGTTTTATAACAAGGGCCTTATGGGGTTTGGGGCCCTCCAAAACTAAGCTTTCTATGGTTTTGTAAGGGTCTTATTGGGGATTGAAGGTGATCAACGACAAAAAAAATTTGTCACAGCCTACCCCAGCGAACCGCTACCGTGTTTTGCAAATACCCCTGCGGGTCCAAGTACCTACTAACCGAGTACTTGAGATTCGGGGAGTAGCAATTTTGATGATGCAAGTTTGGGGTAAGTATATAATGATTGAGTACTTTGCCACTTGGGGTACCGTTGTCAGGCCCTGGACGACTGCGCTCTCCCTAGGCAACCCCTGCCCAAAAAAAGGTCTATTCTGGCATGGGGAATATTGTGGGAGTGTAGTATAGTGCTTCGAAATATCAAGGACAAGCCCCGGGCCCCTTCCGCCTTAGCGACGGGAAGGCGCCTCCGCCTCCCAGCTAAAGAGTGATGAGAATGGCACCTGCTGACACTCAGAGCTTAAGGTTCAGAAGGGTGTGAGGCTCATGTGATAGACTGATGGTTCGAGAGCATGAGGGCGCATCTTTGGGGAAACAAGGCTTACTATAAGATATCGGGGTCTACATCAGGTCCCTCGCTAAGTTTTTGGAAGCACCCATCTAGCTTTGAAAGTATAACCGCGGCTTAGAGCGGACGCGGCGCTGCTCCGAGAATACTCTCAAGCATCAACGAAATCTGAGGCTCATACCCTACTCCAAGCTCCAAGTACCAAATTCATCGAACTTGTATTCTAGTCACAACAGAAGGTACCCGCAGTGCCCATAGACCCTAGTTTGGGTACTGCCCCCATCCTGTAACAGTTTTTTCTGTAACTGTATTGTTCGTATTATCCAACTGTTTACAGATTGGAGGCAGTACCCAAACCATAGTACTTGGAGGGTCAGGGAGACTAGATAAGTAAGGTTACAAGTACACTTACTAAGTCCCCCTGACCCTAAACCCTAAACCATAAACCCTCCAAGCAGGGGTCCAAGGAGCATGTCATTGTTAGAAGGTTAACCTGGAGGCTAGGCACTTCCAGCTCAGGATCTGCCAGAGATGGCAGTGGACTTGGCCTAAAATACTGTTCCCAGAAAGGGTTAAAGGCTTGGGGTTTAGGGGTTTAGGGTTGACATTTAGGGTTTAGGGGTTTAGGGGCTTAGGGTTTAGGGTTGTGGGATAGATAAATAGATCTATATAATATGTATATATGGAGGGACCTGGATTGCAATAGGAACCCTAATATAGGGACCCATTTATGATGAATCGGACCAATTCCCACTTAACCGTAAATGGTAAACAACTCGTTCCGGGTACTTGTGACACTACTGATGGCTACCTATGAACCTCCAAGTACCTTTCACACTGGAAACTCAGCCTTACTGCCTGTCTCGGCACGAAAAGACTCAAAAGGTTCAACACCTTGTCACAATGATGTCATCTACATGCAATCCTTCCTTTGAAGCAGTACCAGAGAGCCAGTCCTAGCACCTTCAACTTTTGGGCCGCAAGTCTGGCATGTAGCCCATACCGGTATGATATGGACGGCGACTCACATAAACACTAGCTCTACTTGGAGGATCATGTATGGTTATAAGAGGTGTTAGACACACAGAGCCTAGTAACATAATTTACGTAGCGTTGCCCGTTGACCTGCGCGTAACTCCAGTTTCCGCGACACATGAGCCTCCAACTGCACCTCCTACAACCCGTCCTTGCTCAAACTTAGGGTCTTTCGCTAAACCTGCACCCCCTCACGTGACAGAGTTAGCCCTAAACGCCGGCATGCTTCGGGGCTGAAGTTCCTCACACAGCTGCCTCCAAACAGCAAATCAGTCACCACTGGTGACAGACCTGAGTATCTTCAGCGGTCTTCCCCTGAAATAAGAGGAAAGAGAAGCATAGAAGCGAGCAGATCTTCCCTTGGTGGCCGGGACGTAGTCCAAAGGGGCTGACAAAAGTAGTGGCCCTCTCACACTTGGCAAAATCCTTTCGGAAAGCAGCCTCTTGAACGCTCATGAAATTCCGGAAGTGGAAGTTCCAGCCATTCCACACTGGAGTCTTCTTCATCCAAGTTCTTCGGGTTGTAAAAATCTGTCGCTTTGACATACTTGGTCTCCTTCCAACCAGAACTTTCCACTTTCCTGTGGCTATTCATTTGCCCGGAAAGTAATGGTTCTCGAGCCCACTAGAAGCCTTTCTTGCAACGCTTTTACTCACTCCTTCTTAGTTGGGAGATGGGAAAGCAGCGGATCCCTAAGGGTGCAGTATACTTACTCAAAAGCTCTACCACAGTTACTGTTATTAAAATCCCAGGCACCTCTTTATTGGGTATTTGGGCCGTGGGCCCTTGGGGTATAGTAGCCCCTGCATAGCCACAAATGACATGCCATGCAATCGTTCCCGCAACCCACCCCCTCCTTTCAAACTGAGGCCTAAACCGGAGGGTTTAGGGTTTAAGCCTTAAGGTTTAGGGTTTAGATTTGTTTTGCGAGTTCAGGGTTGCCCTAAACCCTAAGCCCCAGCCCAAAAACATCCAAACACACCCCAAATCTCTCAAGCATGAAACATCCCTAAGCCCTTGAACGTCCCTAGCGCTAAACGCAAACCCTCAGCATTCATATCACGTCTCTTGAAAAATGGGAGTGTTGAACAGTAGGGCTCCAAAACATAAGTAGCAAATGAGACATGTGAAATGTAACCCCCAAAAGAGGCTCCTTCTTCTTTGACAAACAAGCCCTAATCCCTAAACCCATTCATCCTTGTATACCCCTTCAAATCCTAAACCCTAATCCCTAGACCCACATCCCCCAACCCGAATCCGTTAACGTACAACTCTAATCCCTAAACCGCAAACCCTCATCCCTAGACCCTATCCCCTAAACCCCACACCCCAGACCCTAAACCCGAAGCCCTATTCCCTAAACCCCCCCAAGTCAAACAGAGCCTCGCCAGGTGCGGACGGCCCACTGCCTTTGCACAGCGGCTCCTGGACTCGTAAAGACTCTTCGTAAGGGTACAAAGTTTAGGTTTTAAGGGTCTTAGGGTTTAAGGTTTGAGGCTACAGGGCTTAGAGCTTGGGGTTCAGGGGTTCCTACTGTAGGGGTCAAAAATTTAGGGTTCATGGCTTCGAGGGAAAACTCCCCAAATCCTAGCTACTGATTACAGGGTGATTCCTGTTACAAGGACGTCAGCGTATATGATTATTGTCAGCTGGACCCTTAGAGCCTCTTTGTAGCTCTCAAGCCTTACGTATCCTTATATGACCGCTATTACGCCTTCAATGGTTCCCTATGAAAAGGCTGCCTTTTCGTTAGGGGCTATCGAGCAAATTGCAAGAGTTCATTACTCTGAATTCTCCACATTAAGGGTGAGCACATTTGAGCTCGTTGAAATTTCTCCAAATTTTTAGGGATACCAGGATACCCTAAACCTTTACAGGGGATACAGGGGTTATGTAGGGGTTATAGGTGTCTAGCTTTAGGTTGATCAAGGGTTCCGGGTTTAGGGTGAAGAATAGGGCCAAAAGGGCACATACGTGTGACAAAACCTCCCATATGAGCTATAGTTTAAACTCCCAGTCTCCTCCAGAAAAAACCCCTGTAGTAGTCCCCTATATCATCCCCTATATAACGCCTTTAAGGAGTTTAGACTATGGCTCATATGCCTTCAAGTAGGGTGCAAGCGGGTAGTTGCATTTAGGGTTTAGGGCAACTACGAGCATGATCCAGCCTCAATTACAGCACCGAAAATCCCCAAATCCCCAATCCCTGATCCCAAATCCCAACGGCTGTGGCTACTGTGCAACTACAAGCATTAGCAATAGTACAGATATTCTGCTACGTCATGCACAAAAAAAGGGCTCTGCGGTTGAGTGTGAGGAGGTTGTTCATCTGCTCCATGATGTCGCTCTGCATTCGCGCCAAAAGCAGTATACTCAAGCTGGCGACCTTCAATGTAGGCCTGCAACTGCATGCCGAGCTCATTGTTGAGATGCTTAGGGTCTGCAAGCAACGAAGCCAAATGCGCATCAAACCTGGGCAGGCCGTGACAATTGAGTGTCTGACAAATCTACATTGGCGCAGGTCTCAAATGCTGGCAACAACCACCTTAGCAGTGTGTGCCAGAGGCAGTTTTAAATATGTGAGACCAATTGGGCGTAGGATTGTGCTTTTTCTGTCGTGTTCATTCTGAAGACCATGTCCCGGAAGAGCTCAAGCAGTGCCCCGGTCCGTAGTTTGCTGCAATAGTGAAGAGTGCCACCCAGCCCAGGGCCTCCACCCTCTACTGCTTGGAGGCCCATGGGACTTAGCAACTACTTATAACTGGGGTTATAACCCTACTTATAATTGGGATAACCCCTATAAGCCAATCTAGGGGGATTATAAGTAGGATTATAAGCCTTGTTATAAGTGGTTACTAAATTCCACGGGCATCCAAGTGCGGTGTACTTTCCGCTTCTGCTTTGATAGCTCTCCCAGCCTCCTCCCGACACTGCTGAGGTCAGCCAGGGACAGAGTCTGCAGTGCAGCCCATCGCCGTAACCACTTATCATTGACCACGTTGTCAAGTTCGAGACGTGGAGGTACCTAGGTTTACGGACCTTAGGATTCGATGGGTTTCATATGATATCTGATCACTTTTTCGAAATGGGAGAACTGAATTCAGACCCCCAAATACAATAGTCCTTATTATGGAGACCCACAAAAAAGGTACCCTAATTTTGGGAAATCCTAAACCCTAAGTCCTAAGTAGTAGTTTCCTTTTTTTCTTTTCCATTTTCCCTATACATAACCCACCCCATATTCTAACCCTTTATACAACCCTTATATAACCCTATATTGGGGCTTAGTGCGGAACTCGGCGATGCGCAAGTTTCAGAAGTTTCATGAAACCCTCGGCCATTAGCACAAACCCCTAAAAATGTCCTAGACAGGCAGCCGAATCCATGAAAATTACTGCGAAGTACTAGGTGTTTAGTGTAGGGTCTCCCATTGCACATACACCTTTCCCGAAGGCCCAAGGGGGAAAGCGTATTTGATTCGTTTAGTTTCGTCTGAAACGCTGAGCGTCCAACTACCCAATAATCATATACTTACAGGAAGCCTGTACCCTAAACCCTAAACGACAGTTACTACTACCAAAATCCCAAGTACCTAATGACTGGGTACATGGACCTTTAGGGAAACATCCCAAGCCAAGAGCCCTAAGCCTAAACATTGAACCCTTGGTTCCAGGTTGCAGGTTTGCCATCCAAACAGGGACTTCAAGTGGATTCTATATAGATTATATATTTGTATTAGGATTCGTGATGCGAGGATTTCAGGAACTTGGGAGAACCCCAAACTAGCAAGACAAGTTGACCCTATGAGAGTCATATGAACTACTGTCTAAACTCCTAGTATCCACCTTAATAACCCTTATAGTAGTCCCCTGTATAATCCCCCATATAAACCCCCTTTAAGGAGTTTAGACTATAGCTCATATGATTGTCAGAAGGTCCTCATTTCTGGGTTCGGCAACCTGAAAGAGATGGAGCCCTGTCATGTCCCCGCTGACATATACACCTAAGCAAGTTTTCTGGCCATCTTCTGCCACATGCTCTATAGTCTAAACGCCTAGCATCCCCCTTTAGTAACCCCTATAATACTCTCCTATACAAGCCCCTATATAACCGTTGTGAGCGTAGTTAATGGCCTCTTCTTTAATTTCAGGTTTACCATTCTCCCAACCGGAGTCCTGAAATCACGAAATTCTAAACCTTGACAAATCTGAGCACTAGCGCCACGACTGCGGGACACAAGTGGAAACTACTGAATATGCACTAGAATGGCATCCAGGGCGAACAAGGCCAGAAGGGAAAGAGAGCCAAGAAATTTAGGACAGTTGCATAGAACCCTGGGGCTCTCAGGCCACAAATAATATGCAAGCTTATAGATAGTACCTACATTGGGCGTTTGGATCCTTAGGGGAAGTAGAAGAATTGTTTAGGGTATTTTGTCTGTCAAATTGTACCATGGCTCTGCAAGGATAGTACCATGAGAAAACTGGGTTGCTGTTAAGGAACTTAAATTAAGTTACCATAATGGGTATATGTAGTAAATAAAAGGGTTTCCCCAATATAGTAACTTAATTTAAGTTCCTTAACAGCAACCCAGAAAAACGCTGGATTCTCACATGGTAGCGTGCATGGTCTCCTGGCGGGGCCTATGAGGCGAGGCTTTGTTGCGTAGGGCTTAGTGGTTGGGGGTTTAGGGTTTAGGGTGTTGGGGATATAGGAAAGAAAAGTCGCGAAGACAGCAACAGGTGGATCCTGGGACACCCCAGATCATTCATGAAGAGGTTCCCTTGCAAACATAGCGTAAAAACCCTAAGCCCAAAACCCTAATCTTCCTTAAGCCCTAACCCCTGCACCCTAATCTTCCAAAAACCCGAAACCCTAAATACCCAAGACCCTGAAACTGAAAGGGTGGTTGTCAAAATTATGGTCCTTTTTGGGGTACCCTAATTATTAGGTGCAGTATCATACTAGGGATCCAAAAGGGACCATAATTTTGACAACCACCCAAAACCCAATTAGGACCATACACAACTGCCTCCTGCCCCCAGTGGTCCGATGCGCCATCTGAGTTGCTATGCCTCAGCCAGAGAAACTATTTTGGGCTCCCAAGACAGGAGAGGGTTTGGGGTTTAGGGGTTTAGGGTTTAGGTTGTGGATTTAGGGTTTTAGGGTTTAGGGTTGAAAGCTCCTTAAAACGGGGATTATATAGGGGATGATATAGGGGAGTATTATAGGGTTACGAGGGGGGATACTGGGAGTTTAGACTGTAGCTCATGTTGGGCTCCCAACACAGGAGTGGGGTTTTTGGCGTTGGGGCTCCACACGGTTTAGGGTGTAGGGCTTGGGCTTTAGGGCTTAAGCCCCATGATATACCCAACCTAGAGCCAACCTAGCGCCACTCATTCCGAGGGCTGCCAAAAGCGGACACCTTAGTTAGGGTTTAGGGTTTAATGTTTAGGGCCATTTAGCACTTGGGGGGTTGTAGTTTTCTATATGCCTTTCATCTACAAAGCTGAGGCTCATGGCCAATGCCTCTCACAGCATCATGGGTTTGTCTTTGTGACGGGCACACCCACCCCCCAAACCCTATAGCAATTTGGTGAGTGATTCCACTGACGCTGCAGTTTAGCCCTTCACGTTGGGGAGACCCGATCTACAAAGGTAGACCGCCGTCTGTGCATCAGTAGCACACTCTGCGTACGGAAACTTATGACAATGGTCCTGTCTTGCTGTAGGCATAGCTATTGCCCGTAACCCCAATTACCTATGGTTCTACGGGTCATACCTATCATTAACGGGGGAAATGTTTACTAAGCTGTAGGCAATTGGGGGTATAGGTACTGGCTTGTGCTTCACAATGTGCTATTGTTTCTTGATTTGTGCTGTAAGTGCACCCCGCCTGTCATTGTAAGACGGGCTCGGATCAGACTTGCTTAAGAAATGTTATGTTCCATAAACAAAGCATGAGTTGCACCGTTTTTGTGTTTGGTGTGTTTGGAAAGTATGTACTAAATAAGAAGAAGTGACAAACACAAAATATTGATTGCACTTTTTCTCCGGAAATCTCGAGAAACGTTAAGAAGAGCTCTCTCCTTCTCAATGTACCGTTGTGGTTGTTGAGGCAATTGTTCCAGAACCATGGTGACCTCAAATTTCAGTTTTCTTCACCCTTTGAGAGGCATGACAAGACGTGAGTAGACCAGTTTCGATCTTTCATGGCTCCGAACTGCTACGCTCCAATTAACCTGAACACCTACAGCTTAAACTCTTTATCTATGGCTGGCAGCTTTATTTGAGGTGCCTCGGCAGCCTTGGCTAGTACTATATACCCCCTTAGGCAGATAGAGTATGGGGTATATGAAGTTTTGATTATAATATACCCAAAGCCAGATTCTATCTACTTAAGGGGGACCTGCTCGTTATCCGGAACTCCAGACTTCTTAGGATTGGGCAGCGTGATGCCATACTGAGGCCGCATGCGTGTGTATAAATTTCGCATACCCGAAAAGAAGCCCACGCCTTCGAGAAATCCTGATTGGAACGGTATGTCAAAAAGCTGCCAAGATCGTCAGTCACTGGCATGAGGTGTCCTTTTCCCTCAATAGTAGAAACCCAAAACCATAAATCCTCAACCCTAAACCCTAATCCTCATCAAGTAGCACACATACAAGGTACATGGCGAAAGAATTGTGGACTTCCTGGCTGTTCTAGCTGTTCGATCTGATCTATAGTCTAAACTCCTAGATTCCTCTAATCACTTCTATAATAGTCCCCTACATAATCCGCTATGTAACCCCCTTCAAAGAGTTTAGACTATGGTTCATGTGATCTACTTTGGTTTGATTAAGCGCTCTTCGCACCTTCTATTGTGCTTGCTGGCACAGATTTCATGCCTGCTTGGGGCCAGCTAGGCAGATCTTAGTGCGCAAGAACCGGGAAGGTCAAATCTTAACTTAATTTGAGAAACCCAAAACCCTAAACCCTAAACCCTAAGCCCTAAACCCTAAACCCTAAACCCCAACCCTAAAACCCCAAACAAAAGTTGTACAGCACCCCCTCTGTCGCCCAAGGAGAACATCGTGGTTTCCTGAGAAAAAAAACCCTTTAGAAGCAAGTCTTGGGCCCATGACAGGTTCAGGGTTTAGGGTAGAACCTTTTGTTACAGGATTCTAGCGTTTAGGGCGTAGGGTAGCCAGTTAACCGACAAGACTGTTGATCAACAAGCTTGAGCAACAAGGCTTCCTTGCTGTTGGGTTCTGCATGCAGGGATGGAAGGAGTGCAAGGCAACAGTCTACAAGCATGGCTGGCAGGGGCTTGCTTCTGGGCTCCAGAGAGCAAAAAGTGTTAGGCGTTAAAAGTTCATGGATGGTTTCAGATTGGAGCTTGGCGTTTATGACTCGCCCGAGCACCCAAGAAGGGGTTGTTGGGTAATGTAGGGGCAAGATCTTGCCCAGGACCCTCCTTGTACCTTTAAATGGGGATAGGGTGGAGGGTTTGGGGACCCTGCTTGTACCCGTCTATAATAGGAGTATACGGTCCAGTTAGATGCAGGGTCTAGGGCTATAGCTGTTGGAAAGCATGCAGCGATGATCTTCCGGCTTGTTCAGGCTTCTAGCCCGAATTGCATCTACCCGTAGGAGCTCTTGTCGCTCTTTAGCAATGCACATTGTCCCATAATTCATTTGATAACTTCCAACTCTCTAAGCCCCGTGCGGCCGATAAAGCGGCAGCCGCTCCGCGCTAGTCTGCTGGATGTACAAGGACAGAGTGACGTAGAGGCCTGCAGAGGAGAACAGCGCGAAACAAGGTCAGCACCTATGAGACACTTGTTGGGCAACAGCAATGACATATAGCTGTGTTTTCCGCAATCTGTAGCAAACATATATCACGAACAGTAAGGGCCTTTGTGTGGGCGCGGAAGCAGCACCCTAACAAGCTGAACTAGTACTACTATTATTGTTATTTGCACTATTCTTATTAGTACTATTGCGAATATCATTACGACCCTTACTAGTATGACTATTGATCCAAATTCGGTTCAACGTGAGGCAGTGAACATGGAGGCACATGATTTTCCTACCTGGAGAGAAAGACCGAATGCTTACAGAAGACGCTAGGTACACGACTCCTGCCATAAAACCAGACGCTACGTCTCTCGGCACTTTTCTACTGCAAGGACACTTTGCTCTTCTTAACTTAACTTGGGAACAGTGGTTCAGAGTCTCCCTGTACAAAAACATGTAAGCCATGCTTCCCCATCATGAGCCCAGTGGGGGCGAAATGAAAGTAACGGGCTCATTCTATGTAAGTCCTCCTGCTGGTTTTAATAAAAATATACGTTCAATGGTGATGCAGGGTCAGTGTCAATCTTCTAGAAGGCTTGGAGCCTACAGCACAATTGTCAAAAGCAAAGGCCCCTGGTTGCATGGCCATTGATGTAATCTTCCTGCAATTTTCAGGGGACACCCCTATAGTATGGCATTGTTCAAAAGTCAGCGGCCCCATTGGACAACTTGAAGTACCAGGCCTCCACAGAACCCAAAATTGGCATTACTCTACTCGTAGCCCCCCAAACCCTGCAGACTCCAGGGCTCAAAGAGGGTATGCCCAAAGGATCTTGGAGCCTCATAATGACATGGCAAACCTTAGCCACCAAGTGCCCAACCTTCCCCTCCAAAAAACCCAAATAGACATAAAAGGGGGAATGGATTTCTTATCCGACCCCCAAGCTTAAACTCTACAGTCAACCCCTACCGCCAATGGCCTAGTGTCCAGCATGGAGGACCAAGCATGGAAACGAAGAAATAGGTCTGGCCTCAGGGTTTAGGGTTTTGGGTTCAGGGTTCGGGGAAGAATTCGGGCAATCCCCAAAATGTGGAATCAAATGTACAAGGAAATTAATGGACTGCAAACTAATGTGCTATGGGGCTGTATATGAATTGAGATTAAGCAACAACAGGATTTTAGGATCCCAACCTCCCGAAATCACGAAGCTCATAACATTCCTAGCTTTCGGGGGTTTAGGTTGCAACAACAATGCACGTACTGCAAACCCCTAAAGCATCTAAAATCCCTAGGCTATTCCTTTGCAGGGTGTCACCCCAAGCCCTCAGCCCTAAACCCCTACCCCTAAACGCAAAGCTCTAAACACTCAACCCATTAAAACCTAAGCCCTACACGCTTTAAGGCTTCCAGTATCTGATTACTACATATTTGAACCCTGAGGGTCATCATAGCTACCCTGACAAGAGAAGATGTACTATTCCCCTTAAAGTAGATAGAATATAGAACCTCCAACATCACAATAAGATCCCCATCCTATATTCTGTCTATACGTAAGGAGGACTATAGAGTTGAAGATTAAGGGTTTGGGGCTTAACCCTAAACCCTAAACCCGAAACCCTAAACCCTATGGTATTAGGGTGAGGGGCTTAGGCCTAGGGCTTAGGATTGGATTGCACTAACATCCCCGAGTGGAACTACCAGGCAAGCCCGCGTAATCACAGGGTGGCCTACAGTTACATTGTACAGCAATACGAAATGGGGAACTGCCACAAAAAACACATCTCGAGGCACAGAAGATCTTTTGGTCCCTACGTTTGCCCGAGGCCTCCAAATTTATGCCACTTAGCTCTCAAAGCCCTGCGTCCTCTCAACATCAAAAGTCTTAACCCGAAACGGTGTGGATGGTGTTATGCTGTTCCCAAAAATCCTTCCGGTAGACGGTTCGCAGGCACGCTAGGACCGCTAGATTCATTGCAGGGCTCAGGAGTCCTCAGTTTAGGGCCCGGTCTCAGTATCAACTTATTTCTGAATGTTGGACCTTTGGGTTTGCAAGCACCAAGGTTTTGGGACTAAGGCTTCATGGGGAATATCAAGGAGTTTTCCTTTGTACCCTTAGGGTTTGTACCCTTGGGTTTTGGGTCCCTAAACCATGGAATATGACCCTCAATAAGAGTATATTTGGGACCCAAAACTTAGGGGTACAAACATTAAGGGTACAAACTTAAAGTCTTTGAGAATATCTGGCGACAGACTCCTGCCGCCCTCCGTGAGAAGAGCTGGCTAGTAGGATGCGAGCCATGCAGGTAGAACGCATGCTGGGAAAGAATTTTTTGCGGAGGAAGACGTAGTTAGTTTGTGAAGAAGCACTTGGAACTAACGGAATTCCATGAAGAAGCACCTGAAACTAACAGAGTTTTATAAAGAAGTAGCTCAAGCCCACAGAAATCTATGGAACAAGTACATGGAACTGACGACATTCTATGAAGCCGTACCTGACACACCTGAAACTCACGGAATTCTATGAAACACTACCAAAAAGCTGACCAAAGTCTGTGAAGAAGTACACGGAAACGATTTCTATGGAAACAGCACCTGAAACTCACAGAGCTCTGTAAAAAGTGCGGTTTAGGGTTTAGGGTTCATGAAGCTGACAACGTTCCAGGAAGCAGTACGTACCTGAAACTGACAGAATTCCATGAAGAAGTACTCGACAGCGACAGGACTCTATGAAGAAGCACCTGAAGCCGACAGAACTCCATTAAGAAGTACCTGAAACTGACAGAGTTCGATGAAGCAACACAAAAACCCACAGAGTTCCAGGAAGAAGTGCCTGAAATTCACACAATTTTATGGGAAATATCTGAAATCCATGCAAACATACCGGGAGCTGACAGACTTCTATAAAGCGGTACCTGAAACTAACAGAATTCAACGAAGAAGTACCTGAAACTGACAGATTTCGATTCTAGAAGAAATAATCTGACAGAATTCTGGGAAGATGTATTTGAAACTGACAGGTTTCTACCAAGTACATCAGCCTGACGTCAACAAAATATGCTCTTCTCAGGGAGCCCCATTCCCTAAACATGTCGAGGGTCCTCCAAACCCTATAGGGGTTTTATAGAGTTTTATAGGGGTTATATACGGATAAAGGAAAAGCAAATGGAAACTACTATTTAGGGTGAAGGGTTTAATCTAGACCCCTGATGAATAACCCCCCTTTCCTTGGTAGAGATTAGAATAGAGATCTTAATGTTAAGGCCCTTAAAAGGAGGGGGTTTGTTAGTCATGGGTCTGCATTAAGCCGTTTATGAAGCCCCACTTCCCTAACTCTAAGCCAACAATGCGAAACCCAAGATATCAAATCCTAAACTTCTGTAACTGCTACAACCCTAAGTCCCAGACCCCCACCGTAAACCCTAGACCCCTAAGGGTCCAAGTACCCAATCATAATATACTTCCGCGAAACTTGTACTACAATTACCATTACCTCAATCCAAAGTACCTACTTATTGGGTACTTGGACCCTTGGACCCTAACCCTTTCAACCCTAAACCCCAAACCCTGATCCCCCTATATAACCCATTGTTATCGTTTCCATACTCTTTTCCATTATCCCTATATAATCTAAATCCTAAACCCTATACCCTATAATACACCCTACACCCAAAACCCTAATCCCTAAACCCTCTTCGCCAATTCTATACAGCCTTACAGCGTTTGTAAGGCGTCTGGTACCTTCAAAAACCCCCTCTACTCCCCCTTTGCAGACCCCCTCTCTGCCTGCCACCCCCCCCCCCTCCTATCGCGGGTTAGTCTAGCCTGACCATCCAACGAGAAATTCCAGCCTCGATGCTTTCGCAATACGCGGCAGCGAAGCATTTTTCGTCCAGAACCTGCCTTCTCCCCCCCTCCCCCCCTGGCCCCTCTCCCCCTCCCCCTCCGCCACTCTGTGTGTTAATTTCTTCGCTGCGGCTCTTGAAGCTTGCGAACTCCCTCACTAAAGGCTGATGGACTATGCCCAGCCAATCCCCTGCGTGAATGCTGGAACAGGCATGCAACAAACACGTCTGAAGTGAGGCTTGCCTCCGTTACTCCCTCGACCTTAAATCCCACATGTCAAGTACATACCATGACCTATTTGTGTGCACCACGCCCCGCCAGCCGGGCGGGCGCGCAATAGCGTTTATAAAATAACCCCTATACTGAACCCACATTACCCTAGAGAGAAAAAAGGATCCTTTTTACTGAAGTATAAGGAACCCCAAACCCCAAAAAGTATAAAGGATCCCTAACATTGATCCCATAAAATAATAGCATTATTAGGTACTTGGACCCTGAGGGTAACCCCCGCTAAGGAGTTTAGACTATACCTCCTTTGTGGTCTAAACCCTATAAACCGGAACCGCGTCGACCCTTAAACCCGTTGAGCGGCCTCGTGAGCGGAGGACTGCCCAGGCGGTATCGAAGTCTAAGAGCCAAGGACCCACCTCGAAGAGCCTCGGGTTAAGGGTTAAGGGTGTAAAATTAAGGGTGGAGGGTGTAGGATTTAGGGTTTAGGGTGTAGGATTTAGGGTTCAGGTTGTAGGGTTTAGAGTGTAGGGTTAAGGGTGTAGGATTTAGAGTTAAGGGTGTAGGGTTTAGGGTTAAGGGTGTAGGATTTAGAGTTTAAGGGTGTAGGGTTTAGGGTTTAGGGTGTAGGGTTTCGGGTGTAGCGTTTAGGGTTTAGGGTGTAGGGTTTAGGGACATGGCCAAAGCAACGGAGAACCAAATGGAAAAGAACATGGAAACAGACATGACAGCAAGGAAGATATGAACCATAGTCTAAACTACGGGTATCCCCCTTAATGACCCACCATATAACCCTTTTTTAAGGAGTTCAGACTATAGCTCATATAGGGATTTAGGGTGACAGGGGTCTGGTAGGTTTACTACGAAATAGTAGCGTTGTCTTGAATCGCAAGTATAGGGGGAAACAGGTTACAACATTGTCTGTGACTTCAGCATGTGCCTACCTAGCTAGGTTTTAGGGTTCGATTCGTTCCTTTGTCCAGGTTGCATGAGTTTGCATTGAGGGTTTAGGGTTGAAGGATTTGAGGGTTTACTGTAGACCCTGGACCCCTACACCTTCCAACCCCACAAACCCTAAACCCTTAACCAAACGCCAAAAACCCTCAACCTGCAGACTTCCAGCGACCTTGGTTCATGTGTACGTTTAGAGGGTGGGTCTCAGCCCCGAAGCCTCCAAATCCCAAACCGTGAGTCTGGACCCAACTAAGTAGCGTTTTGTTTGGTGGTTGAACCTAGTAAGATATAATATTCCTTATATAAAATACTAAACCCCAAAAGGACGACAGAATCTTACTCTATATTGGGTACCATAGTATCCCCAAAATAAAATAATACCCAACTTGCAACCAAGCTACCACCCCAGTGCGCAAACAGCGCCTGGAATGCAGCAGGCACAAATGAATGGCTTGTGAGGCCGCTTTACGTTTAAGCTTCGGGATGTTGAGCGTTTAGGTGTTAGGTTTTAGGGTCTTGGTATGGGTTTAGGGGTCAGTGCTGGACTTGGAGTTTTTGGCTTAGAGTTTAGGGGGTAAAGTTTAGGGTTCTGCATAGGACTGCAGGGTCAGGGTGCGAGGGTTTTGTACGGCTTTGGAGTTTAGGATTTGAGCTTCAAAAATGTTTTTGGAGTTTAGAGTTTTGGGGTTAAGGATTCTAAGGCCTAGAGCTTCGGGTCGGGGGATGAAGTCAAAAGCCCAAAACTTTTAGTCAAAGGGTCCAAAGTACCGATATGGTACAAAGTATGGTTTCTGTAGTAGTAATTTCCCTTATGGTTTGGGTAAGTATTCCCCATATGGGTACTTAGGACCCTTTGGGTTAGTCAACCCTAAACCCTAGACCCTAAACCCTACCTTCCACTCAATCTTTGAGAAGGCAAAAGGTAGCTTCAGACTTGGGAGTTCCCAAAATTGGGGGTACCCCTTTGGGGGTCCCTATGATAAGGACTATAGTATTTGGGGGTCT